ACAAGATTCGGAGAGTCGCTGGGAGGTATGCTTCCCATCCCCTTTCCATCTTGCTCTCCAATGGCCAGGAAGTTGCTCTCGACCACAGCTTTTCTTGTGCTTCTAGCACTTCTGTTTCTTCCCCTGCCTTCTTGGCCATAAAGTCTCAGGCAGAGTGATTGCCTCTTTCCTTTTGGGCTGATCGTCTCTATGATTATAATCGCACCTTTACACAGGTTGAACTGAAACTTGCTTTTCATCGGTCTGGTAGTACATCAGTCAGACCTGATGATGTTCATTATGAGATGTTGCGCCATTTCTCTCCTGCTATTCTTCTGGTTCTTTTTAACTGGATCTGGCAGGAACTTATTTTTCCTGATGCTTTGGCACCAGGCTATTGTCCTCCCTCTCTAAACCTGGGAAGGATCCCAAGATTCCTTCTAATTATCTTCCCATCGCTTTGACTAGTTGCCTTTGTAAGGTCTTAGAGAGGATGGTTAATGCTCGCCTTGTGTGGTTCCTGGACTCGAACACGTTCCTCTCATCCACCCAATGTGGGTTATGTCGACAATACTCCACCATGGACCATCTGATTCAACTTAAAACGTCGATCAGGGAAGCCTTTCTCAAGAGAGAACACCTTGTTTCTGTGTTCTTCGATCTCGGGAAGGCTTAGGACACTACGTGGAGGTATGGAATTTTGCAGGACCTCCACTCCTGTGGGCTGCGTGGCCATTTACCCATTTTTATTCAAAACTTTTTACTGAACAGGCGATTCCAAGTCCGTGTGGGTTCAACTCTTTCCTGTTCCTTTCCACAGGAACTTGGAGTCCCTCAGGGCTGTGTCTTGAGTGTCACACTTTTTAGTGTTAAAATTAATGCCACAACTAATAATCTTCCTCCGACTGTTGCAAATCTCATGTCAGTCGTCGATCATGAGGTTTATTGAGCAGCAGCTTCAGACTGCCCTTAATCGGTTGTTGACATGGACCACTGCAAATGGTTTTAAATTTTCTTTTTTCCAAAACCGTTTGCATGCATTTTTGCCACCAAAGGGTCTCCACCCCAATCCCGAGGTCTGATCTCGGTGATGTAGTTATTCGTGTGGTCCCTGAGGCAAAGTTCTTGGGGTTTATTTTTGACTGTCAATGTCAGCAAGCTCGTTCCCATGAATACCGATGTGGCCAGGGATCCAGAAAAACTGGATGGAAATAGAAGACAGAGAAAAGTGGGCCAATCTGTGTTGAATATTGACGAGAACAGGGCGAGAACTAACGTTAAGCAATTCCTGGGCCAGTAGAGAGCTAAGAGAATCAGTGTTAATAGTACAATTACTGTACTTCATAGCTTCTACATAATCCAAGGCAAGAGAAATAGCATACAACTCGGTAGTGAACACAGAAGCTGTAGAGGGGATCCTGCGAGCAACTACTGAGCCACAGCACACCATGGCAGAACCTACAGAGTCACCTGATTTTGAGCCATCCTATAAATAGGAAGAGAAGAATGGCTCGAAAGATGTTCAGCAAAACAAAGACGGTACTTCCAATTCAATCCAGTTTGGATCGAATCAGGGCACAATAGATCCTAAGCATAGAACATCGATCCGCTCTCCAAGAGCTGGAAGAGAGGCCACGGAGGATGTTCAGAGCCCTTGCACACTTGACATGTAGTTGCTTGATGTGAGGAATGAAGCTAAGATTCAGCTAAGTCCGTCTGCTCTGGTGCCATCACGGCCGTGCCTGTCCCATACATGGACTACGGTCCTATCCTAGTAATGGTGACACTGTCCAATTAGATTGTATTTTTAATTTTTTACACACTATAGGTCTTTTTAATTATATATATAAATCTTTTATCGATATATATTGGTTTTAACTCACTGTATTTTTACATTTCACTTTAATTTACTTTTACTGTTTTTACTGGTTGTTTGGCACAGATAGCCTCATTGCTTTGTGCCTTAAAGCACCAAACAAACAACCCACCAGGTGCTGCAAGGTGTTGGTTGCACCCTAGCCACTCTACACCAGGGAGTTCCATTGTTTCTGTAATTTTTTCTTGGGGTCCCTCCATGTTTCCACCCTTTTTGGTGACACATTTCTAACGAGCAAAGAGTATACCTGGCTCAGAAGTGGTGCAGTCTTCCATAGGTGTGTTGTTTTTAAATCCTTCTCACACAACCACTGGTTTTCCTTTGGGCACTTTCTAAAGGGAGATCATATTCTTACCATCTCTCCACGGGTTCAGTGTGGGATTCTAGCTTTTGTGAGAGGGGGTAAGGTATTGTATCTGAAGTTAACATTTTCCTAAACTGAAAATGTATTTCTGATAGATACCTCTTCTCACACTTCCTACCTGTCTTCCCCACTTCTGATGTGGTTTGATGTGATCTGACTAATCTCAATATGGTTAACAGCTACAAGATTAGAGAGGGCACTAGTTATGATAGAGATAGTGTTGCATGTTAGTATGCAGAGATAAGTGGGAGTATCAAGGCTAGTGGAGAGCAAATATTTGCTCTCAAAGAGGGACAGTATAAGTCAAGAAAACTATTTGTGAGGTAAGTATCTATAAGAAATATATTTTCAGGTTAGGAAAATGTTAACTTTCATATACCAGATTTGAAAGTTGTGCATAAAGTATTTATTTCGTGTTTTTTGATATCTTTAAATAATCATAAGTTTTGAGAAAAGCTCATTAAATAATTTACTTTTAAGTGTTTTTAACTTCAAACACTACAAAGAAAGTTAAACATAAAAAAGATAGGGAAGTAGTTGATGTCCATCTAAACTGATGATGCAACTTGTGTATTTTTTCTTTTAGTATCGGGCATTGGCACCTATGTACTATCGAGGTGCAGGAGCAGCAATTATAGTGTATGATGTAACATCAGCAGTACGTATATAAACACTATTGTTTTTTTTGCAAAGACACTTACTACATTTCTGTATAGAATCACATAAATTATTGTAATATTTGTTAGATCTCTAGGGATTATTCAAAAATTATTTGTATTATTATTATTATATTTTAGTATGTGTATTTACTTTTTTCACCCTTGTTTGGAGATATCATTTAAGAACTATCACATTTTGTAGAATGAGTTTTTTGAGTGGTTAGATTTTAAATATGGAGATTATATGTATTAAACATTTTTTTTGTATTTATAATTGCTAAATAAATATTTTAATGCTTTACTGGCCAATTTCATACATTTTGTGTGATTCATAGTTTTTGTAATTCAAAGACCAAGAAAATTAAGATATCAGTTTTTTGAAGTTACTGATTAATACTTTTAAAACTGGATAAAAACTATAATTCATATCTCAGGAATAGACCTTAAAAATATTTTAAATAGTTTGTTAATGCTAGTCTGAAATGAGTTAGAACAGAATATGGTAATATCAGTGCAACTTTTACAGTTTAACCATTTTGTGATTATTAATAGATAAAAATTGTAGTAGTGTTGTCATGCTTGTTATCTAAAAACTAAACTAGATAAAACTTTGTGTATTATTCAGGAGCATCAGTTTTAAATTTGTCAGTTCTTGACTTTGTTACTTGCATTTTTAATTCTGAAAATGCACTATTCATAATAAGTTTACTACACTTATCATTCATAGCAAAGTTTTGAATCATTGAAAGGCTGGGTTCGAGAGTTGCAGCATCATGGGCCCCCAGGTATTGTTTTAGCAATTGCAGGGAATAAATGTGATCTCGAAGATTACCGAGAAGTGTCATATCAGAGTAAGTTACTTGTATTTGGATATGTAAGGTTTTTTGTTTTTAAAGAACCATAAAACTGTTTACTGAGAATGTTATATGTCAAAGTTGTTTTGTTAAGTGAATTTTACACAAAAGTGAGATTCATAAGATTATTATATATCAAAGTAATAATAGTTTTTATTTAATGTTGTGAATACCAGAGTAAAAATGACTTAAATTATTTATTTTACCAACATTTAGACTTATGCCTTCTTCTGAATAAAATATTTTACAGCAACATATTTATAAGCCATAAATATATCTAGACTGCCAATTTAGTTGGCACATAAACCAGGGATAAATTTAAAACAGACTATCCCCACATTGTCCAAGACACGACATATGCATGTACTTCTGATACGGTCTTATCTTTTCTCACACAAAGCTATCTTGATCTTCATCTGGCCTCTAAGCATTGCTAAAGAATTTTTGCAATCATAGCATCAGTCTATATACACCATCAATTTTGTGCCATTTCTGAACATGTGACTACTCTCCACTAATAGTATTGCATCACTTGTATTGGTGCAGCTAGCTCCCTCTGCTGTTTTTGTTCAGTCTTCACTTTCTTGATTGGAACTACATTGTTTAGATGTGTTTTTTTTTGCTTCTTTGCCATTTCAAATTTTTGTTTTTCCACACTTTTATTTTATTGTGTTTGCATTTACTTCTTATTACCATATTATAAGAGACCTTATTTGAATTTGAGATCAATGTATCAACTTTGAAAATCCCCATTGCAGTTGAAAATGCTACTGATACAACTTCCCAGGAATTGGGCTCAACTTTATCTGCAGAGGAGGTACAGGTCTTAACTTGCAGGGAGCCAGATTCATATGTTCAGCCGGCGATTTCTTTTCAATGTGATAATGTTTTTCTGAGGAAAAATACAGTCACTGAGAAGACAATTTGAACTCTCTTTATCAGGCACCTTCTTATTTTGGTCTGTTTCATTCTACACCTTATCAGGAGTTTTCACCTTCCACCAGTTGACATTCTGTCACGTATTTCACTTTGGTGGAGAATTGTTCTTTTCCTTCTTACTTCCTATTGCCCCCAGTTCTTTGGATGCATCTTCCTCTGGTGGATATCGTCTCCCTCCAGTAGTGATTCTACACAAGTCTGTTTGCCTTTGAATGGTGTAAGTCTTATCATTTCCTTTCATTTATGTTTTTATTTTCAGCGACCTTAGTTTTAACCACTGATAATGAGATCCCTCTCTGTAGTGGGTGTTGCTTGGTCAGATATGCTGTGCCTCAAAACCGCACTATTTACTGATTGCACTATGATGCTTACTGTAAATATGAGGTGTTTCCACAAAACCACTGGTGGCATACACAGTGGTGTGTGTGGGCATATGTATATATGATTTTAGATATCCACTGAATGGTGGACCATCACTCGTATACTTTAAGAGTAAAGCAGAAAGAGATTTCTATTAATCCCTTCTGACCCTTTGATTGAATGAATTTGGGTTGGCCTGCTTTCCAAAATAGGGAATTGCAGACATTTTCTCTGGTATGATGTTCTTCCAGATTCTCCACTTCCAGTCACTGTGGTGGTGCACCATAGAGGCTTTCTCCTGAGTGAATTTATAAATTTCCTTTACCATATATACTCATGATTATACACTCAGAGCATACCTGTTCCAGAAGTAGTGTGGTACCCAACAAATGTGCTTTATTTTCATCTCAATGTGGGATTCTAGCTTTCTGTGAGTGGAGCTGAGACCATATCAGAAGTTAAATTTTTTCTTACACTGAAAATGTACTTCCAATAGGTACTTACCTCCCCTCACCTTTTCTCAGTATTCTTTTGGAAGATTGAGCAGGAATAGCAGAGGGAGCTAGCTGTGCCAATATAGGTTGTGTAATACTATTGATGGAGAGTATTCACATGAAATGGCATGAAACTGATGGTGCATAAAGACTGATGTGCTGATCACAAAAATTTGTTACCAATGTTCAGAGGGCAGAAGAAGATCAAGATAGCTTTGTGAGAAAAGAGGTAAGTACCTATTGGAAATACATTTTCAGTGTAAGAAAAATGTTAACATTCAGCGTATGACAAATAAACTACTGGTTATAATGACAACTGTGCCATGAAAAACATAGTTTATGAGTTTAGTGTGTGCTCTACAAAACATATTGGAGAAACTGAATGTCCTTTGCACGACAGACTTTAAAAAACACTTCAGATAGGTTAGTTTAAGACATAATGGGGAAAAAAAATAAAGGCTACAGCTCGTCACTATTTAACACAAAATGGATTACCTCAAACTGATATCCCTTTTTTTTCTATTAAACTTTCTAAATGCTGCAATATTTAGATAGAAAATATAAATAATATAAAGGAAATGATCAATGAATATAGTGGTTGGCCAGATTAACTTACTAGTTTAACTTATTTAGTATTATTGTGGTTATTTTTGTAAGATGAATTTTCTTAATATTCTTTAATTTTATCTAAGTACATTAACTTCAAGTGTTTTTTTTTTGTTGATATTTTATGTTAAACATGATCACATATTTAGAGTATAAAATTATATTAGAAATTAGAATGTTGTAGCATTATTTGTTAATTAGCTGTTTATTGTAGCAGCTACTAAGACTTGTCAGAAGGACGCATAAGCCGAAACATTGATAAAATTAATTTTTTTGGAGCTTAAGTAGTTTTTATGTGTAAAATGACATTAGTCAGCTCATTAGTTTAATGAAAGTTTTTGTGGGAGGGTGTAACCTAGGATGTTATGAAATTGTATGTGAAAGTAAGCAAGAAGTGTTAGGTAGATGGTGATCAAAAGTTTCATGGTAAAGTAAGTAGTTTATATGTTTATATATATATTAAGAATAAGCTGTTGTGAATTTTCATGTTGAAGAACATTATTGTTCAAAAATATCTATGTTTAAATGAGATAAAAAATGTGCAAAATCATCATTATGATTTATTAATTTTCATTTGTTTTAGCTGCTAAAAACTATGCAGATGAGATAGGAGCACTATTTGTTGAAACCAGTGCTTTGACAGCTGTCAACGTAAATGAAATTTTTCAAGAAATTTGTAAGTAGTTTTTTGCAATTTCATGGGTGTAAATTTTGTTATAATGAATATCTATATGAATTTAAAAATTTAAATAATAAATTGAAAGTTTTATATTGTATCAAATTGTGTTCAAAAAGAAGATGAAATAACACTAACTTTAGTTTACAGTATTCTTGTAAATTTTGTGGATGAGTTTTATGGCTCACTGTGTTAAAAAAACAACTCAGTTTGTGTAAATGACCGAAAAAAAAGTTTTCTGGACTTTCCTTTAGAATTTTTTTTATTCTCTCATTGGGCCACAAAAGTAGTAATTCTAAATTTGTATACAATTTTCATTTTTTCTTATGTTTTTTTTACTTCTGAGATTATCTATAGCAACAAATAAGAAGAACATTGTTGGTTTAGGATTTTTATCATTGATTCATAAAAAGGAACATATAATTAATGAATCAGTAATTATCTATATGAAGGATGAATGTTGAGTAGTTTATAAAATTGTTCCTACTAGCCGAGTTATTTTATCACTGTTATTTTTAAGAAAGGTTGTGTACACATTACCAGGGTGTAAAATTCCCTGAGACATATCCAGCTATAGATTTGGCAAATGTTGGAAAACTGACATAACCTTAAAAAAAATCGTTGTTCGATGAATTTTTAATTATTTGCCAAATTCAAAGGGTAAACATTACTACTAGTTATACTGTTCATAAATTTTCCACTTTACTGTAAGTAGTAGTGAGCAAAAACAATTATCCTTGTGATTAATCTTTCTACATCAAAGATGAGGTATCACATTTTACAGTTAACCATATGAGGAATCTTTCTATTTTTTCATTTATTATATTTTAGTTCCAAAACTTTACAAAAATATTGCAAATTCTGTATTTTAAGATTTTCAGTATTTTATTGGAAATGTTTGATCTTTATTAAATGTACACATTAAATATTTTGATTCAATAACTTTTCTTTTAACAGCTAAAAAGATTCCCAAAGAGACAGTACCTCATTTAGTGGAACATTCTCTTCAGCTTCACCCAGGTCAAAAGAAAAAAAAGTGTTGTTGACTTTGTCCATACTCATAACAGCCAGAAGAACAGTTTAATTTGAAGTGCCTTTGGTGTACTATATATACGAACAACTAGAATACTGATTTAGGACTGTGCAGCTGTGTTCTCAAGTAACTACATTTATGTAGCAGCAATTCTCTATTAGTTCAGTATTTGATTCTATATTCTAAAGTGGTAATGTGTATATGATTTTATTGATTTTTACATGATAGTTTTTTTTGTTCTTGTTATCCATTATTTTCAAATTGTGTAAACAGATAACTTGTACATTTGAATACAAACATGAGTATTGAATAACAGCAAGACATGAGTAGTTCTTTAATAAGTGTAACATTGTGTTGTTTGTAAGGAGTTTAAGACATTGAAGACTTTTTACATATAATTATAGGCCTCAGTATTAAAATAGGGGTCAAGATAACTGTTTTTTTTGTAATGGCAATGATAAATGTTAACTTTAATTGTAAAACTGGTTGAATAGCTTTTGTTGAATAATATTTTTAGAAGAAAAAGAAAAACATGTTTTTGTCTTGGGAACTTATAGTACTTTTATTTCTTAGAAGTTTCAAAAAGATGTGATTATAGATTGTTTAGTCATGCAGCATTGACAGGCTTTAAAATTCACATTTTTATTCCAAAAAATATAATTTGCATATTTTGCCTTTTTAAGTAAAATATTTTTTAATATTGTTGCCAAAATTGTGCAAAGCCATGACGCATTGATAAGAAAGAGATTTTTAAACTAAAAATGAATAATTATGTACTGTTGTAAAATCTTGTTAATATATGAACAGCTTTATGGTTTTGTATTTTAGAGAATACCATATATATATATATACTAAACTTGTTAGATCATTCTTGTAAACTTCAATGCACATTTTGTAACACAGCTGTAAAAGCTATTTAAATACCAGTCACTTCATAATGTGTTTAGTTTGAAGATTTCATTCCTCTCATTATATATGTATATCTTGCATTATGTGATCAATTGATATTACTAAGTGTAATCTATCCCTTGAGTCAATGTGGAGTTGTGAAAGTTGATATATTTATTTACTACTAGTTGTCATGATGTACGAGAAGGTTTAGGTTATAGGAAGTAACACTGTTACTTGAATACAAAGTATACACTTATTGCTGTTTACAATACTATAGAGAGAGAGAGAGAGATTAGAAAAGCACTGATACCTGTATATTTCTTCATATACTTTTTGTGTAAATGAAGATTGTGTTGAAGTTTTTCACTAGTGTGTAATAAAGCTAGATGGGTAACTTCACAAAAGACTCATGGAGAAGTTTCAAGTAGTATCTGACCATGTGTATACTGATTGTTGTATTTTTTACCAGGCCTTTAAATCATATTAATTTGGGCAGAAATTAGGTATGGACCTGATTACTATCTGCACCTTTAGCATGTTGAAAAATGAGTAGATCAAAGCTTCTAAAAAATTTGGAGTTTACAGAGCTTTCAACCTTTTATAATACTACTACACAGGAATATAAAGTTTATAGACTAATAAAGGTCAGTGAGATTCCTTCTTAATTTCTCAGACAGTATTTAATATTGTATTTTATACACTTTTAATTTGTTATAAATTTTAATACATTCTGTATTTGTGGTGGATATTATAAGTTTTCCTGTAATTTCAAATGACCATCAGTCACTTAATTCAGTGTTTCTGGTTTAGTTGCATTAGCCTTGAAACTGAAGACTAGTTCTGGTTAAGAGTTGATTTATAAATTGTTTCATTAGTAGTCTTTAATCCATAATGTGTATTCCTCATTAGTGAACTTCAGTGGCATGTCTTAAGTATTCACACTAAACTATATGATAGAAGGGGTGAGATCTCACCCTTGATCTAATATTGTATTTGATAAAGGTTCATGTGGTATATTTAGTATACCCAAATAGGGCTTACTTAAATGTTCTTGCATTGCAAACCAACATCCTTATATTTGTTATAATCAAGGTAACATTATAGTGACAATAACAATATTGCTGAACTCCATCAAGAAATACAGGGAAAGTTAGAAAAATGAAGTCATATATCTTTAGACATATGTTAGACTGCAGTGAAAGTGAAAAAAGTACATTAAGAATTAAAAAGTCTGTCATTGAAGCATTTGACTCCATCTCTAACACTGAAACAGTCTGCGGTTTTATAGATCACATGAAAATATTTACAATATTTTTTTCAAGTGTATTGGATGGTTGTAAACTTTGCATAAAACTACAATTACGGGAACTGTATGTCCTCAATAATGAAGGTATTGAGTATTGTTTTAAAACTATTTTTCAATCTTTGAAATTAAACCAGCAGTAAATGTTTTTGTTTAGAAATGAAGTTATTTGTGAAGACATACAATTTTATTATACATGTTACTTTACATGTGGACTGACTTTAGTTTTGTACATTGTGAGAAATTAACTGAACAAGAATGTTAATTATGGTGAGATTAACTTTTTTTTTATAAACCTGTTCGTTGTGTTAGTTATTAGGTCTTTAACAACAATTGATGAATAGAACCTCAGGGATAATTCTTTTTTTTCAGTGTGTTATGTTAGAAACTTTGGATAGCCATGGTATTTTCTTTGTAAGAGTACTGTCATTTATTTCACTTTTAAAACACATTCCCCATATGGTTTTTGTTTTTATTCATATTGATGTTGTTACAAACCAAACATTCTGGGTTTCAATTTGTGCAGCATCTGAGATATACTATTAAAAAGGAGGGGGATACACTTGCTGTACTAAGTTAATGAAAATCAAATATACCCACCCTTGTTAAGCAAACCAGCTCTTCTTAGTAATATTTACCCAAGTTCCAGAAAGAGACTATTACATGACCTAAATATATGAAATTTTGATGAATTAATAGGTTTTCTTAATATATTATTTTTTATTGATTGATTCAGTTTAATTTTCAAAAAATAAAATGAATTGTTCCCACATTCCTAAGAACTATATCAAAATATTTATTTCATTTGCACTATAGTCCTGTTGCTATGAAGGAAAATTTGTGTGTTTCAGTATAGTCAATACACATATTGAAATAGAGGTACCTTGTAATAAAGATACAAATATAAGTGTTATTTCAAATGTAAAAATGCTAAAAATCTTGAATACAGAATGAGGTTATTAGTATTTTTATTACAAAAAGTTAATTCTGTAAGATTGACACGTGAAGAGACAAAGATGTTACATGAGATTTTTTACTTCTGTTACATTAAAACAGACTTTCACTATTTATGATCTCACAATAGAATGAGGAGGAATATTGTAGTTTACTTGTTTCATGAGTGAGTTTTACTTAGTAGTTTTCATGCAGTTTTTCTAGTCTAAGGTAGAATTAAGCCACCTACAACCAGCTAGGCCCTCAGGTGTTTGTTGACACATGATTTTACACTTCCAAAAGGGGAGCTTTTATATGAAAGAAATTAAAAGGACCAAGTGATGAAATGTTTTTTCATAGATTATAAGTTTCATTATGTTGACTCATTAAAAACTAAATACACAGTAATTGCATTACATTAATGTTAGCCAAGAACGTTCTTCATTATTTTTCTGAGTGCCCAGTATGAATGTTTTTAATATTTACTAATTTCTCAAACACTATAGTGTATGAAGATACTATTGTGTATCTTCAAAGTTCCTGTTTTTTCTGTAGCAGAACTAATAATGCAAGAATTTTTAAAATATTACCAGTCATCTTGTGATTAGTTTTAACATAGTATCCAAAGTAATGTGGAAAATTTAATAGTTTTGGTAAAATTAAAAGGCTTCTTGGAGAGGTTTATAAGATAAAAGTGAATGTAAGTAACACTGAAATGTACAAAACATTTTGAAAAATGAGTAGTATTATCATTATGAAGGCCAGTTCTTATTTTTCTATATATACTGGAATGAACTCTTAAGTGTATTTTTAATAATCTTAGTAATTACTTCTAAATATTTTGCTCAAGAAGTTATTACTACATTTAATAGGTGGTTTGCTGGAATATTAAGCAGTAGTTTAGCTTAATGCTATATAAACAGTTATTGAATCAGAGCACTGGAGCTGGTTGTGCTTATTATTGTTAATGTAACTCCAAATTAGTGCTCCTTGACATTGTTATTAATTTATGTTTCATTGAAATATTTGTATACTTCACTTGTAATAATATAGATTTCTTATTTGTGGACAATTTTATATAGTTGCAGTTAAAATCTTCAACTTAGTGGTCCCCTTTACTGCCAGACTATCATTTTTCATTTTAAGTAACTGGATAAGTAATAACAAGGGGCTTATTTTATACATGTTATATTTATAGGACACAGAGCTGTTATGTTAGAAAAATATTTAAAGTGGTATATTGAATTAACCACTAAAAAATGTTTTAACAGCAATTATGTAGGAGTTTATTACTCTTGAATTAGTTTTTAGTACAAGTTCTTTAAGTATAAAAAACAGACATTGAAATGGAAATTGTTAATATTTGAGGCCCATTGTGATTTGTAGGTATTGATTAATTCTATCAATATTTAAGGGATTTCAAAAATGTTTTTTATTCAAGATTTTCAAGAAGATAGATATGTGTATCTTTGCATGTATATATATATATATACATATATAATTAAAATGTGATACAAAAATATTTATTTCTCTGATTTATATGGAGTGTTTTTATGTTTTGTGTATCTGTAGAAAAATTATTTAAAATTTGTTGTTTTACATAAAATTACCATTCTGCATTGAAGCTTCACTTTTTATCAGTTTGTCAGTTATGTAAATTAATTTTGATAGATAACACTGTGATATTATTATTCTAAAACCCAGTTTTTTGTGTAGTCATAAGAATAAAAATTGGTTGTCCAATAAATAAAGTGGGTAAGACAAGAAAATATATACAAATATGTATGCTTGTTTAAAGCTAAACACAGAAAGCTACAGTCTCGTTATCGGTCCTGGTTGTCAACTTATTGTCATGATGGATAATGTCTGTGGTAATAGCACCCAAATGCATTGGGGATAACTCATCTATCAGACAATATCCAAATGCCGATGTCAATTTAGTCAGCCGTCATGGGAAAATCATTAAAAAAAAATCATCAATCAAATAAGGGTACGAAGCTGAGTGCTTACACCCACAATGTCTCAGTTTCTACTGCCTTTTACTATCTACAGCCAGTTGTGGAAAGCAGTTAACCTTAAAGAAGAAATGAATTGAAATAATACCACCCTAATATTCCTACTAATTTAACTCCCAACCTCCACCCTTACAAAAATATATTAAATAGAACTATAATCCCTACCTTAAAAGTTCTTGTATAGTTCTAACTCCCAACCTCCTCTCTTTCTCCTGAAGATTTATTCAAGTATAACAGGGAATGCCCAGCTACCTGAAGTTAGTCTCTCTGTCCCAGTTATACTGAATAAAATTACTAGAAAAAATTATTATTAGCTACTTATAAGCTAAAATAACTAACTCCCTCTATATTTTTTTTAATTGATAGTTTAGTTTCTAAAATATTTTTATATTTATCAAAAAATAATCTATTTCTTTAATTGCCTGTCTTTATAGACCTTATCCTTCAGTTTATTTTTTAATACTAAAAAATTATATTTATTACATACTACTAAGAACCTTTTTATTATAGTATGTAATAAATATAATTTTTTTATGTAATCAATAGTTTGTAAGCTAATTATATATATATATATATATATATATATATCAGTCAACACAGTGAACAGTATGTTGTAAATAAAACTAAAGACATCTGTAATAGTTAAGAACACCACATTTATAATCAGTAGAAAATTTATGATAAACTGATACTCTGCTGTGATTGGTTGATGGATATCACATGAAGTTTATTGACAAAGTTTGTGTTATGTCATGACATGTGAAATTTAATTACAGAAATCTGGCTAATTAATTTGATTTAATTTTATATTAATGGCAAAGCTACTAAGGTTGTCTGCCACTGTCCCTACTAGTGAGTAACCAATCATCAATACTCTACCATCCTATTAAGGGATTGACTCTCATTGTTATAATACACATACAGCTTATTGAGGTATGAAGAACATTTCACATATTTCAACCTTACTCACCAGCTCTGAAATCTACTAGTAGCTAGGAAGCTACTATGGGATCAACTTTCATTCTTCTTGATATAAGTTTAATTAATTGATAAAAAATTATGGAAAATTTATTAAGTACCAAATCACAAAAGGGAACAGGTCAGTGTCTTCTTTAGACCTGATTAAAGTGAGGTAGATAACAGTTTACTGATTATGTCTTCATAATTTTCTTTAATTTACATTGTTAATCAATCACAACACAAAAGCATATTATATTTGGGAACAAAAACGCATTATGTATATTTTCTTGTTGGTCAAACTCTACTCTGATTCTACAGTTTCAGTACTTCATGGCTTAATAAAAAATTTCAGTTTATCAAATCTTGTTGCACTTCACTAATTAATAATTTATCCCATAAAGGGCTGTTTAATTTTTTTGCATAGCAGATCTGAATATTATAACTTGCCATGAACGAACAAACTGTTTTTGTTGAGATCGGTGACGTTAACAACAGCTATTGTATAGTTTCCTTGCTTATTCTGACTGTACAATATGACTTGTATTATTCACTATCTATGAACAGCAAGTGGGGTTTTGTTCAGATCAGTGACACTAAGGACATTTGTTATTTAGTTTATTTGCTAATCCTGACGTTACAATGTGATTGATATTGTTAACTCACCATGAACAAGTAGTATTTTGTTCATATCAGTGACGTTAATGACAGCTGTTGTACAGTGTACTTGCTAATCCTGACTATACGTTATTGTTGCTGTTATTAACCCACAGTATTTTTAATACTTTAACACCAAAATGTACTGACCACATTATTCTCACAACTCAGGGTATTCGTTATCCATGGTTCACAGCGATATTGTCTCAAATGAGTGATTTCAAGATATTCTCCTTTTTCTTGACAAGCACTTGTAGTATTAGTGACTTCAATATGCATATTTGGTAAATTAATCGCAGTGAAGACGGTAACGTTGAGGTTCTTCTATTTACTTAACTCTATGAGTAACTATCGATTAATTAAGAGCATTTCGATTTTTTGGTACATTTTGAGACAATTTTGCATGAATTACCTTGATGATCCAGGAAATTAGGGAATAAATGTTCATTTCTGGCTTCAACAAGCCTAATTATGTTTCCTAAACGAGAAAATATCAGCTTCTTTGGTTCTGCTTGAAATTTTAATACTTGGGCTTGAGATCAAGAGCGAACGAAGTTCTAGGACGAGAAATTGGAAAATATCGGTTGAGATTAACTATAGCAAGTGATAATTCGAATGTATCTTTTGGAGTTGTGGTTTCATGTCCTCTGGAATGGTAAACTCTTAGCTGGAGGAGAAAAAAGGATCTGTTGTCTTCAGTGAGATCATGTGATTGTTTATTAAGAAAAGCTACCTGGAATCTATATGGAAATAATGAGTTACGAAATTGGTTTATAAGTATCCCCCCCCCCCCCAAGTGTATCTCGAAAGCTGTTGTAAAGTAAAAAGATTTTGATACATACAGGTAGTAGGAGTAAATGTTATGTCGGGGTTTCCATTGTGGATTTATTTCGGCTTTTATTTATTTGAACAGTATAACTGGGACAGTATTCAGTGTTGATATACTATAGAGATGTCACTTTGAAAGTATAAACTGACCGTTGTAGATATTTAAGTATTTTGATTTTATCCAATGTTTCTTATACGTTTGTAGCTGGAAACTATTTATTTGTTATTAATGGTTGGCCAGATTTAGAGGTAAAATGTCAATTCTTAATTCAGTTTCCTGGTAGAAAGGCCCGGCATGGCCAGGTGGTCAGGGCGCTCGACTCGCATTCTGAAGGTCGCGGGTTCGAATCCCCGTCACACCAAACATGCTCACTCTTTCAGCCGTGGGGGCGTTATAATGTGATGGTCAATCCCACTATCCGTTGGTAAAAGAGTAGCCCAAGAGTTGGCGGTGGGTGGTGATGACTAGCTGCCTTCCCTCTAGTGTTACACTGCTAAATTAGGGACGGCTAGCGCAGATAGACCTCGTGTAGCTTTGCGCGAAATTCAAAAACAAACAAACTGGAAGAAAGACGTACCTGAACTTCTTTGCAAATACGTTTATGTTGTAATGCTAAATACTTATATATATATATAATACAAACAGTTAATTATAATTCTATTCGTTTAAAGTAGTATATTTAATTGCAACGTTTAATAAGTTTTATATGTAAAATTAAGACTTATATCTTAGATGATTTTATACCTCTTCATTATTTAATGAAAAACAATTTTCTGTACTTGTGTGTTTATACTTGAACGAGCACACAACTGTCATTCGCTCTGTGCTGAAATTCAATCTGAATATAATCTAAAAAAGTACTTTTCATTTAGTTTATTGGACTATGGTTCTTTCAACCTTCAAATTCTACGAAGAGTGTACATGTTGATGCCTGTAATATTCATGTCCGCTGAAGTCCAGCAGGTAAACATCAAAATTCACAGCAGAGTTAGAAGATGTCTTGCAAGAAGGAAAGCTCATTCACGTGTGTAAATAACAAACTGCAGCATTTCTTTCTCATACATTAACAATGTTGTTGTTTAGCGTAAAGCTTTACAATGGGCTATTTGTATTTTGTCCACCCCGACGAATTGAATCCCGGATTTTAGCGTTTTATGTTCGTAAGCTTGCCAGTGACTCACCAAGGAGCTGTTAGCAATGAAGATAGTAGGATCTTAATTTAAGTTATATCTGGCTTACCTGTAAGTTCGTAGGCTGGTCAGCAGAAACTCAGAGATGAAAGAAAGTGCATTTTCAAAAGATGAAATGTTTATAAAGTTAAGTTGGACTAGTGTGATAACTCACAGCCATAGCTCACCTACGTCGGCGATAATTTCTATTATACATATTCAATAGAGCATTAGTTCCCAAATGATGCTGTCCTATACAAACCTTTGTACCATTGCTAGACTTGGGTATGATCTCCAACTCAGGAAAGTGATGACAGAGAAACGTGACTAAACAAGAACAAGGTTTGTGAATTGGTCCCATGGTATATGACCCTAAACAGAGGTGAGGATTAATACAATTTTACAACTATTCACATCCTGTTCACACAAATGTTAGATGCAGAATATCTACTCGAAAATGTTGAAACTTCGCTCGAATAAATATAATGTTGGAATAGTTACTATTTCTATTGTTGGCTAGGGCATTTTGGAATATTTGTTAAAAAAAAAAACATAAGGGAAAGTCCAGTTCATTTAATGACAACAAAAACGTTTTATTTCTTCACCTTGTTCAAACATCATATTTGACAGAACCAACATAACCGATAGGCTTAATTTTACAAATAAATTGCTTCTCAAAAGAAATGCCACATACTTGCTAATTTTATATATATGTTTTGTTAAAACAAAAACTCAATATTTACAGCACTGAACTAACCGACTAGCAGACAGTACGAGACAAACTGGATAGATAATGCACAGACCATTCATTAACTGGCCAACACACTCTAGACTATCTTCTCTTTTATATATGGCTCAAATTGTTTTCTAAAGTTTGGAGGAAGTTCCAAACATTACGGCCAAGACTATCACGTTACATTAAGCTTTATTTCAGCTAAAGTTCTAGAAACTGTAATGTACTCAGCTATTTCCACGTTACCATATATTATGTGTTACATAAGCAAGTTGAATAAAGATTACTGTTTTAATGGCACAGTTGTGCATGGTGTAAAAAGCCAATAATATCACAGGACCAAACCGTCATCCAAGCAAAATAGTGAACTAATTTGATAAAGAAAGGA